GTGGGAAGAGGACAGCATCGTTCGTGCCCCGGGCTGCGCCCCGTCTGTGCTGTGTGCCCTCCGCGTTTTAGCGGTATTTATATATATATGTATTTGGGGTTGTTGTTTTTTTGGTTTTTTTTTTTTTTCTTTTAGTTCTTCTTTCCGTATTTAACACCATATTCCTCGTAGTTCTTAAAGCCTCGGGCCAGCAGCCTCCTCCTGGCAGCCCTTCGGGAAGGGTGTGCAGGCCGGGGGCTGGGGCTGGGATCCCGGCAGCAGGGTCGGCTACGGGTCCATCCCGCCTGGCAAACTCTGCTCAGAGATAGCAGAAGAGAAAGGGGATTTGGGCTGAACCTGACCCTGTAGCCTGGCCTGAATCTTGCATTCTCTTTGCTTATAATGCTAATAAGCTTTGTGGGATAATTTTTTAAGGGTGTGACAAACTAGGCACATAATCCTGGTACAGGAGAGAGTAGACTTCCACAGAATCCCAGGATGGTGGGGGCTGGCAGGGCCCTCCGGAGCTCACCCAGCCCACCCCCCTGCTCAAGCAGGCTCACCCAGAGCAGGGGGCACAGGACAGCGTCCAGGCGGGGGTTGAAGATCTCCAGAGAAGGAGACTCCACAGCCCCCCTGGCAGCCTGGGCCAGGGCTCGGGCACCCTCCAAGTCAAGAAGTTCTTCCTCCCGTTCAACTGGAACCTCTTGTGCTTCAGTTTGTGCCCATGGCCCCTTGTCCTGGTGCTGGGCACCACTGGGAAGAGTCTGGCTCTGTCCTCGTGACCCCCACCCTTGAGATATTTGTAGGTGTTGATGAGATCCCCTCTCAGCCTTCTCTTCTCCAGGCTGAACAAGCCCAGCTCCCTCAACCTTTCTTTGTAGGAGAGGTGCTCCAGTCCCCTCCTCATCTTTCTTGCCCTCCTCTGGACTCTTTCTAGGAGTTCCTCATTCTCCTTGACCTGGGGAGCCCAGAACTGGACCCAGTGCTCCAGTATTTTTGGCTGTTGCATTGGACAGTGCATAGCTTTTGTATTTTAAGTTCGGGTGCTTTGTGTTCTTAAAATGTTGAAGTGTCACTTAAAGTTCTTAACTGTTTATTAGGCAACTTGGAGGGTAGTGTCTCTTCTTGAGTATTATTGGTGTAACATTTTAACACTACAGTCTAATCTTTCCCTCTTCTGCACCCATCTCCTCACTGATTCCTTGCCAGTGATCTTTAGTTACGGAATGGTCTGTTTGCCAGTTAACTTCTATTTTATTTCTGCATCAACCCATTTGTTTTCTTTTCTCCATCATTTCCTGCATCATCCCTTCCTTATTCCGCACATGCCCTGTGCATTTTGTCACCTCTGCTAATGTTTCAAGTGGACCGGTAGTGCCAGCATAGGCCCCACAAATTAATAAGATATAAGAACAGGTTGGGGACTGGCGTGGAGTCAGTTTGATCCATCAGTTTGGAAAAGGTGAGCACATCGGTGTGGAAGGACAGCAGGTGAGATGCTCCGCTGGTGGATACGTGGAGATCTTGGCTTCAGCTTCGTGCTTTGCAGCATACTGCCTTTCTGTAAGCAAGTCATTTAGTATGTTTGTGCAGTGGCATAGTGTTAACATGCTTGAGCAAGCTTTGAACAGGCTGGCCAGAGTGCTGAAGCGGTCCTGCTGCAGCAGCAAGAAGCAAATTTACTGTATGCTGCTAGTATGTTTCTGTTAGCCCAGCTAACAAATTTCTTTGACTACCTCATATTTTGCAATACTTCTACATCTCTTGTACTTGCACATGTCGGTGTGGTTTTAGATAGTACCTCAGCCTGAGGCAGAGGGGAGTGCTCTGATGCGCTTGTACTACCGTGACACACTGGTGATGGATGGATGGGGTTATTCTGGGGAACAAAGCTGACAGCTCTCACAGTGAGCTGTTATGTGTTTGCTGTGCTCCAGCTGTACTCGCCATCAGTGGCTTACTCTTGTCTTAGTGCTGTTGGGCACGTTCAGAAAATAGCTTTGTCTTCCTCCTTGAGATACATTAATAGGACTTTTTTTTCACCCCCTCCCCCTGCCCAGGGGGAGGTCTTGTCCACATTTGCTTCTAAACTCTGAATTTATATAGGAAGAAGGAACAGCTTGGCTAGTGAAGCACGGTGCTCTCAGATCTGAGCCCTCATCTGGGAACACCTGAAGAGGGGTGTGATCTTACAGATCCAAGTACAGTCTGCACTTAGATCTTGCTTTGGTATCCGAGTCCTCGCTTTTCATTTCATGCCCCTCTCATTCTAACCATTCCTTCGCGGCATTGCTACCTCTCAGTTGTCCTGTAACAGTAGCAGATGTACCTGAGCCTTTGACTAATGAAGCCTATAGTAACGTGATCTGCAGTGAGCCTGTTGAATCTAGTGGGTCTTTGCTATACAAGCTTTCAGCAGAATATTGAATTGAGGTCATGGTTTCTGTATTTAAAATCAGAGCACTCTATAATGTAGGTCTGAAGAGTTGAAAAGACTGAAATTCTGGATTAAGATGGTGGTTGACAGTTTAGTCTCAGTGTCATGGTTTAACCCGGCTGGTGACTAAGCACCACGCAGCCGCTTGCTCGCTCCCCCCACAGTGGGGTGGGGGAGAGAATCAGGAGTAAAACTGAGAAAACTCATGGGTTGAGATAAAAACAGTTTAATAGGTAAATCAAAAGCCACACGCACAAGCAAAGCAAGGAATTCATTCACCACTTCCCACGGGCAGGCAGGTGTTCAGCCATCTCCAGGACAGCAGGGCTCCACCACATGTAATGGTGACTTGGGAAGACAAACGCCATCAATCTGAACGCGCCCCCTTCCTTCTTCCCCCAGCTTATACACTGAGCATGACGTCATGTGGTATGGAATAGCCCTTGGGCCAGCTGGGGTTGGCTGTCCTGGCTGTGTCCCCTCCCAGCTCCTTGTGCCCCTGGCAGAGCTGAGAGCTGAGAAGTCCATGGCCAGCCTAAGCACTACCCAGCAACAACTAAACCATCCATGTGTTATCAACATTCTTCTCGTACTAAATCCAAAACACAGCACCATACCAGCTACTAGGAAGAAAATTAACTGTCCCAGCTGAAACCAGGACACTCAGGGAATTATTTCATGGTGAACATGAAAAACTCTCCACGTACAGTGCTTGTTGAAGGAGTGTTTTCTTTGTGTGCAAATTTGCTGTCTGCTGTTGATGGCCTCCCAATTGATCAGTGCGGTTCATGGGAAGGAACACCCCTGCTCCTGGGAACTCCGCTATGTGTCTTGCATGATATGTACTGAAAGGGTTGGCATAGCTCATAGCTCGTTCATTCCTCCTTTGGGGAACACCCCTCCTAGTGTCTGTTAAATCTCTCTGAGATCCAGGTGAACAAATCAGCTGGTAGAGCTACTGAAAGTGGAAAAAGTGTATGGGGCACGTGGGTGAGTTTGGGGTTGGCTCAGTCACTCACTGCAGTTTCTTATAATATAGGTCAGCTGAATTCCTCTTCTCCACCTTCTTCCATCATTTAACTTGCAAGCCCCAGAGCTTGTCTCTGAGCTAAATTAATTCACCAACATGACAAAAAAACCCCCACAACCCACCTTAGCAAAAAGCTGGGGAGTTTTCTGCTCTTAAGGCATTAAATAAACCAAGGAAGGGTCTGATGAGGTTGAGAGCAAACAAGCTTGCTCTTCTAATGCCACAATTAGATTGGCTCAGTTGTCTGTTAAGTTGTGCCCTTAGGCTTCACGTTTCTGTTGTGTGAAAACCTTTTCCTTGTTTTGCAGCTTTTATATAAAACACTCCACTTTGTGTTAATTGGCCAACAGTCCTCGTAAAGCTGATTCTGGCGGATTTCTGGTTTTGCAGAGGTCTCGCTTGTGACATGGGGTGGTTGCTGAATATGGATGCCTGATTGTTACCAATGTTTAAATACAAATATTCTCTCCTTATTCATGTAGGTAATTCCCTACTTAACTGGGAGAAGTTACTTCTGCTCTTTGAGGCTAGGAAGCCCATTCTTGTTGAAGTGCCTTCTAAATCATATGTATTCTAAGAAGGAAATATCATAAACCACCTTATTGCCACAGCAGCTGTTAGTTTTCTGTCCGTGTTTGAAAAAGGCTGGGCTTGATATCCAAACACGTGGGAAAGAGCCCTTGGGGGCTGTGGGAATGTTGTATAGGATCTGCGCAGGAGATTACACTCTCTCATGGGTTAATCTAGGATACGGAGGGATCTCCAGAAGCTAAGAAACATAAATGTTGTCACCATCCCAGTGCATCAGCTGCACTGCTTTGAACTTACTGTTGTTGTCTGATACCTAGTGACATAAATAAAAACAAAACTGGAAGCATCAAAGCCCTTGGTACTGCAACAAGAAACTCTGATGCCTGTGGCTATGCTTAGGTGGGAGGATAAGAACAAACTTGTGGCTGTTAAGACTTCAGAACTGTGCTTTGATGCTAAGTGATAATTGCTTTGTAAAAATGTCTGTTAATCTCCGTTCTCCATGGACTCTCTAAAACTCTGTACACACTCTTCTGCTTTTAGCCCTGCTCATATTCCCTTTAATTCTTTTCATTCTGGATTTTTTTTTTTTACTTGGCTTTTGGCACACAGAACCACATAGCTTCAAAAATGTTTTGAGCACTTCACATTAGAAACCTTTTACTCCCTTAATATTTCTTTCAAGAACATCCATTAAGTTGCCCAGAAAGCATAATTGTGCATTACTGTCTTCTGTGTGCCGTTTGGGGATTATTACTGAGCTCCAGTAATGGTTATCTAAATGGAAATGTAGCATTGCACCCTGTAGTTACTGTCTTGTTTTAAAGATGTGTAGCTTATAAATGTAAAACTTTTAACTATACAGGTTGATTGTTTCTCAAATGCATAAAGCTGTGCAGTTACAGGGAGCTGGCTCCTGCAGGACTGCCCGAAGCTTTTGGAGGCAGTCATACATGCAATATTCAAAACTGAGCTACTCTTTTTAAGCCCAACAGGATCCTGTAACAATCACAGAATCCCAGTTCTCTGGAATGGGCTGCCCAGGGAGGTGGTCGAGTCCCCATCCCTGGAGGTATTTAAAAGCCGGGCAGACGAGGTGCTTAGGGACAGGGTTTAGAGGTGGGATGGCAGGGTTAGGGGAACATTTGGACTTGATAACCTTAAAGGTCTTTTCCAACCTGGATGATTCTGTGATAATGGCAGAGGATGGCAGGGCCCTCTGGAGCTCACCCAGTGCCACCCCCCTGCCCAAGCAGGCTCACCCAGAGCAGGGGGCACAGGACAGCGTCCAGGCGGGGGTTGAGTATATCCAGAGAAGGAGACTCCACAGCCCCCCTGGGCAGCCTGGGCCAGGGCTCGGGCGCCCTCACAGTCAAGAATTTCTTCATCCCGTTCAACTGGAACCTCTTCTGCTTCAGATTGTGCCCATTGCCCCTTGTCCTGGTGCTGGGCACCACTGGGAAGAGTCTGGCTCCATCCCCGTGACCCCCACCCTTGAGATAATAAGCAGGAAACAGTTTTGTTGTGGTCTTTTGTCTGTATCTGTATTTAGATCTCTGTGACTTGTTACTTTTGGAAGTAAAATTCAGTATACTGAAAAATAATTCATTATTATTATTACTTTTTCCTTTTGTTGAAAGGTGTTTAGGTGCTATGGTTGGACAGCTCAGATACGAGTTAAAAAGTCCACCATGGCAAATAGTTGGAGTGTTTTGCTAAACACATTCTTTCCTCACCGCGTATGCACGATAGTGTCTCCCTTCTTCCACAAAAAGCTGCATCTTGTAAACCTGCACTTTGCTCAAGCGGCTTTAATCTGCCCTGAAATAAACAGTGTAACCTGCCACGCTCTGCACGCTTCAGGACAAATGGGGTAGATTTTAGAGCACTTAACGAACGCTGATGTTAAAAAAGGGGGGGGGGGGGGAAGTTGCTGCCTGCGTTCTCAGACTGATTATATACAAGAGAGCTAAATATAAAGATCTGTACCTCCTGCCTGGTTTTAGGGTGATGTTTCTTTCCTGCTTTGCTGACCTCTTGCAGCAGAACGGCGTCATTTATCCTCCAGGCAGCGTGGAGATCGTTGCTGTGTTTAAAGAGTCATTCTCTGAAGTGTTCCAAAGAGCATCTCTTTGCCCTGAGTGTCTCCTAGGGGTGCAGGGGCACTGCTCTGTAGTGGGGTTTGAAGTGAAGAGGGAGAAATGAGAATGATGGATTCTTTTAATGGATTTTTGAATAAACACGTTAAGCCGTAACTTTGCTGCTGCCTCCAGTCGTCTTAAGCATCTTGTTTCTCAGCTGCTACCTGGAGAAACAAATGCATAAGATGTATTTGTAAGAGTGTAACTGTGTAATTATCAAATCATTAGTCTGTTTAGCTTACAAATGTTAAACTAGATGTTGCCAGATGAGTCTGTCACAACTTTCTGCCTAATTCAGTAGCAGTGGTGGTTAGGGATATTACACTGTTTTTTCTCTCTGGAACAAGGCTTCATCAGTTCTGGTAGGCACAGAGGGATTTGTTTGGGGAAAACTAAATTTGAGCAATAAGCAATTAAATATGTTTTCAGTCAATGACTGCAGTTTTGTTTGAGTGCTTGACAGGAGAAGGAGACGAAGATTGGGAAGGGAGGAGTTGGGTATGTGGGTAGAGGACAGTAGGACATGAAGGGGGACTGTAGAAAGACAAGATAGATAGGGTTGGGGTTTTTTTTTTCTTCATTTGGGTTTTTTTGGGGTTTGGCAGGTTTTGGTTTTTGTTTTGGTTTTGTTTTTTTTTTTTTTGAACCTGCTGCTGGTGTTGGTGACAAACTGATGGTCTCCACTTATCCCATGTCATGGGGTCACCAATGAATGGGCAGCGTTCCACCAGAAACAAAATGTGGGGCTAGTTAAGGTGAGAGCCCAGTCAGTTACTGTACCTGTTTCAGCTGTGTGTATATATATATATATTATTTTTTTTTAAAACAAATTTCAAAGTGCAAAGTGCTAGTGAGGATTATTGTGAGTTCTCAATTAAAATGCCAATAAAATGGGGAAACTTCCCCTTACAGTAGGAAGCAAATGCTCTTGGAACACAGAAAGGATAATAGGAAGAATCCAGTTACATGAACAATGTTTGATGTGCTGAAGCACTGGGTGGCCAAATCACTAGGCTAAAATAGTGTTTTGAGAATGCTACGTTTAATGTGGTCAATTTTTTCCTTTCTAATAGCTCATATGAAGTGAAGTACCGATATAATTTGCATTTGCTCTCAGCATTGTCTTTTTATAGTCTATTATCAGACAGCACTACTTCAATGTTGCAGTTGCTCTGTAAGAGGACTGTGAGGCTCTGAAGCAGTTACTTAAAGATCAGCAAGACTCCTTGAAAAGGAAGCATTGATCCAGATTTGTATAATTGAGTTTAAAAAGAAAAAGAAACCAAACCAAAAAACCCCAAACCAACCCTCAAAAGTCAGTTTTTACCCTGCTTTCTGAGCATTTCTTTTGTGTCTGAACTTTTTTTTTATCTGAGGCATTTAAAGGTTCTTGCAGCAACTGTGCGATGGTCAGGTCTTAATCTTAAATTGAATCCTCAATGTGGTGGTGTTCAAACCTGACCAGATGGGTTGCAGCGTGCATGTGAGCAGGCGTGGTCCCAAGGAGCTGATGTTCAGTGTTTTGCATGAAGGAAAGAGTTCTTAAACTTAAGGCTTCTACAATGAGTGGAGTTGGTGCCTGAGGCTACTCCCAAGACAGTGCTTGCAACCCTATTATTGCTGCCCTGAAGAGCCCAGAATTATCCCATAGAGTTTAATGGTGACTTGGATGATGATAAAATTAAATTCTGCATGCCTTCTCATTCCAGCAAGGAGAAGGCCCTATTGTCAGAGAGAGAAGCAACACTAGGTACCCATTTGCCACTTAAAAATGGGAGGAAGAAGGAAAGAAGATTTGTATTGGAGCCCTTAGAGTGCAAGAACAGTCACAGTAGACCTCATGATACACTTTGTGTTTCTTCAACAATTTCTGAGGGTGGGGAGGATTTCAGTTATTTTCATTCAGTTCATATGAGAGTGAAGTCACCACTAATGAAAGTTAAATAAAACCACCACTAGTGCTAGGGAAGTTGCATGTAATTCCACGGCTGCTTTGGTTTTCATCCTGATTTCTGGTTACCTGGGTGAATACCTGCTTGGTGTAGGAGCAGACAACTGCACCAAATCCACAAGAATGTTTACTTTTGCAGGTTCTATATATGGTCTTGTAGGCAATTTTGGTCTGCTTTTTTGGGTGGAAGATGAGGAATAAATCTGGTACTCATAAAATTGTGTCACTATGCTCAGGGAAAGGAAGGAGGGGAGGAAATATTTAAAAGAACGAAGTTCATAATGAAGAATAAAAAAATTGATGAATAACTGTAATAGGGAAGTGTTTGCTAGTACCTGCTATAGCAGAGGGACTAAAAAACCAATTTAAGTAATTCTTGTGACGACCAGTCACCCTATGTAGCCCCTAGGTCTTTCAACTAAAAAACCAATTTAAGTAATTCTTGTGACGATGTAGCCCCTAGGTCTTTCCGTTTTACTGGAAAATGGCCTGATACAATCTGACATAACCAAAATCATGATGAAATTATGATGTTTGCTATGTATTATTTTGCAGGGATGGGAAGCTGAAAATACTTGTGTTAAAAGGAGCACTTTCTGTGGTTAGATATGGTTAGAACGCTGATGTATTTGCTGCATGTTACTGTGTTTGCTTTTTCTTCAGCCCTTGTTCACTTTCTACAAATTCCGATAGGATCTGGGTTCTGTTACTTCAGTTCCCTGGAGTTCCTAAGGAGACTTGTGGCTTTTTCATGGTTAAGCCAGCTAGGATTATTCTTGCCACCATGGGCTGCTCCCAGCGCGGAGGCGGCTGCAGGAAAGGCTGGTGTAGCTCCAACCTGAAGCCACCCTGCATATCAACTGGAATTAACTCATACCACAAGCACGTCTTGCTTAGGTAAAGGCTCAGATTTCATGTGGAGTGGTTGGGGGTTTGGTTTTTAGTACCTTTTGAAGCTTTGAGGAATTCGTAACAGCTTTAAGAGAGCTCTGAGTGAAGAATGGTAGGCCAGGTTTGTGACTAACGGCGCACGAGGTGCACACAGCTGTGAGCGTAGCGCTCCTAATTCTTCAGCTCAGGACCGCAGCCTGGGCTGTACTTGGGTGTGAAGTTCAGGTGGTCCTTCCACTGCAACTCGGCTCTGTTCCAGGGGTTGGACGTCAAGTTAAAGATGACCAAAGCTCATGATTCAATGGATTTTATCCATTAACAGCTGGAGTGAAGCTGTCACGTTCTGCCTTCTTGTAGGTTAAGCCTGGTAGGCAGCTGAGCACTACACAGCTGCTTGCTCACTTCCCCTCCTACCCCCAGTGAGATGGGAAAGAAGAAAAGAAGACAAAAAGCCAGAGAATTTGTGGGTTGGGATAAAAATTGTTTAATAAGCAAAGGAGAAATAGAAGAAGAAAGAAAGAAAACAAAACAAGTGATGCAAATGCAATCGCTCATCACCTCCTGCAGGTGAACCAATGCCCAGCCAGTTCCTGAGCAAAAGATGGGTAACCTCCTTAAAAAAACCCTTTTACCTTGTGATTGCTGAGCATGATGTTATATGGCATGGCATATCTTTTTGTTTAGTCACCTGCCCGGTTGTGTCCCCTCCCAACCTCTTGTGCATCCCCCAGTCTATTCACTGAGGGAGACAAGAGAGAAACAGAGAAGGCCTTGACACTGTGCAAACACTGTCCAGCGATAGTTAAAACAGTTTGTCAGCCTTGTTTTGGTCACAAATCTAAAACACAGCACTGTACCAGCTATGAAGAAAATTAACTCCATCCCAGCCAAACCCAGTAGATGCCTATAATTATAACTCTTCACTACTTGTAGCAAATATTGGAGTTTTGACAGCAGCGACTGCTGGTCACCGAAGCAGTGGTATACGAAAAGTGTATGTGGTTTGTAGTCTTGAGAATCTACATGTGCTACGTAGGACATAAAAAGAGACCCGATGATGCTGTGGGGTCTTGTCAGACCTATGGCCAAGGCTGAATTTTGGAGTGGTGTGAATCTGGAATTGATCATTACTTCAGGTTGTACTTTCAGGAGTTGGTAGAGGCCAGGCCTCTTATTCTAGATCTCTTACCCATTCTGGAGTAGGCCAGCTTCTTTCTGTCACTGTGGTTATATACATATATGCACCATTCTGGCTGCGTTGTTTGGGGTTGTTTGGTTTTGTTTTTTCAAGCACATCCAGTAATGGTGAGGTTGCATTTGATTCTTCGACCAGTTGCTGTGTGGGAGAGATTCTGCCTAATGTATGCAAGTCTTTGTTTGAAGTATGATGGAAATAATAACAAATTCCACGGTACTCCCTGCACAGATAGTGAACCTTTGTAGACTCTTTTTCTTTAAAATACAAAGCAGGCTAGTCAACAGCAAGTTATGCCCGTTATTCTGCTATTTCATGTGGCCCAAAATTCTTATGGTGAAATTTTTTATGTTTTCAGGTGTACTGCGAAGAGTATGGGATGGTACACGTCCTTTCAGAGAAGGGGAGCAGCAAAGGAAAAGATTACTGTATCCTCTTCAACTCTCAGTGGGCCCATTTGCCACATGACCTGGGTAAAGCTGTAAGTACCCGGCCAAGCAATGACAGAAGAATGTATTCAAAAATGCCTTTGTTACAGGGAAACTAATAGTTCCTAACTTGGATTAGTAGAATTTGAAGCAACTGCTTTGTTTGCTCTACTTAGAAAATATTTTTATCTGTTAACATCACCCTATGCATTGCTATTACGGCAATATTCTTTTCCAAGCTGCATGCAGAGGCGATGACTATTTCTGGTTCGAAACAAAAGTCTTCCTTTTGCACAACACGAGCAGTTAAATGAAAACGGCACTTACCTGTGGTTGGAAGGGAGTTTTTGTATGTCAGTATGATACAGAAAGATACCATGTGGCCTTGCTAATATACTGACCTGTGACCTTTAGTGCTTTCTGGGTGGTTCATAGCTCTCAAGTGTAAGAAGTAGTCACAAACTGTGTCAAGCTTTTGCTGCATTATCCAAAGCCTTATGAGCTGACAGTTGAGTCAATTCTTCACTCTCTTCTGTGAGAAAATGTTACTGTCACTGAAGATTAAATCAGCAAATGCACTTTTAATGAGCTACTATTGGGGAAGATGTGGAGTAGTTCACTGATCCTCTGTTCATTTAGTCTTTGTATTCCTTAATCTACCAGTTGAGTGCTATACAGAAGTATTACTGTTCCTTATCAATATATAATCAAGTCTTAATTACCCATGCTGGGTTTATTGCAACTGCAGATCACTCCCTAGATACATAGATAGCTCAGAAGCTGCAGCTGCCTTTGCCTTGTGTAGACCCAGCTAATAAACTCTTGCACTTGACCTGACTCTCTGTAACGTGAAGTCGGCACGTGTTCGCAGCGTATCCCTTTGCTCCAGAAGTGGGAATGCAGAAGTGCTTGAAGCTGGTTTGAAGGTACTGTAGACCTCTTGTTTCCACCAGTCTCATGAAAATTCACTGGAGATGTATTTCAGTAGCTGTGCAGGAGGTAACGTAGTCCAGAAGAGCTTGCACTGAACTGAAACTGAAGCACTCAGCAGGTTCCAACTTGCCTTCCACAGGGTTGCCTATGCTATATCCCTTGCCTGTCCCTGTCCCTTCCTCAGCTCTCACTCTGCCTTTCCCTTCTTTCACATTCTTCCTCCTTCTCTCCTCCAGTACTCCAGCGGTTCAATTTATTAACTGAGGTGATGCTGTGCACCAACCTGAGCTCACTCTGCTTTTGTGTTGTGCTCTGATAGAGCTGATAAGCTTTCCTGAAACCTGGACAACCAGGCAGTGTGTGTAGAGACACTTTACTGTCTCTAAAGTAGGAGCCAGGGTGGAGACAGCAGTTTTCTAGAAAAGCTTGGAGCTACTAACAGCTTGACCCTTACCTTTCCCTCCTAAGACAGTAGAGTCCGTTATACAGGTATTTGGTATTGCATCACGTGCCTGTGGATTTCTAATACAATTTCAGGTTAAAAACTTTACCCTGATGCCTCTCAAACCTAACAGCCCAACCCCCAGCAAGAGTGGGACTGTGACGTGCTTCTGTTAGCACAGCTCACACCAAGGATCAGTTATTGGGTAGATAATTGCATTTTTCAGGTGACTTGCAACTAGAACTGGGCAAAGATGGTCGTTGTTGTTTAGGTTTTGCAAGCAACAATTTGTGCCGGTGTTATTTCTAAAACCTTGAAGTGTCTTTGGGCTGTTCCTGTGTGAACATACCAGAGTAGATGTCTTCAGGTCTGAGAAGGGCCAAAACTAAGGAATTGGGGTGGGCCTGTGACATCTCTCAATTGCAAGCTGTGAGGGAAGCAGCTTAGAATCCAGTATCCAGGTGTTTAGGATCCAAAACCTCAGCTAACTGGATATAGTTGGTTTCAAAATGGAAGTTTATTTTTGTTGCCTATGCTTTTGTACTGCAGCCCAGCCTGTGCTTGTGTTTCTAGCTGTTCATCCCCTGCATTTTCTCAGCCTGCCACTCTGTGCCACCCTAGCACTTATAACACTTTGCTGTACTCCTACATCCTGGATGCATGCATCACAACAGCAACAGTGCTGAAGAAAACAAATGCAAATACAGATTATAACCCAATTTTTATTACCAGCAGAATTCTGTACAGTAAGGTGAAGCAAGGCAGGACCCTACGTAACAGAGAGCAACACTGTTTCAAGTTTTCAAGCTTCTCTGAGAATACTCTTATTCCATTACTTGAAAATTCTAAATTACCCTTTAGAAACTCTGTGGTTTCTCCTCTTGACTTCTTTTATAATTTTATTTTATATATGTGTTTAATTTCTTTCTTTTCAGTCACTCTTGCAACTGCAGGACCAGACAGCATCTGTTTTGTGTTCTCCTTCTGATGTACCTGATGGGGGATTTAATAATCAAATCCCCATGGTGATGCGAGGGAATTGCACCTTCTATGAGAAAGTGAGGCTTGCTCAGATAAATGGAGCTCGTGGGCTGCTCATTGTTAGCAGAGAGAGACTGGTAAGTCTCTGTCTTTCTATATTGCTGATACTCCTCTGATGTTAGATATTGTCTCGTTTTCAGTGCTCATTGCTGGTATTTGATGCTCCTCTTGAAAATAAATAATATATATGTATGTGTATTTACACATGTACATACATTGCATAGCTCTGTGTGGAAATAATACAGCTGAAGGAAGGATTAATGAAACAAGAGGAGGTACTCATTTAAGTAGGAAGAATGCTTCACAGAGCCCATGTAACGTTCAAGTCACGGGCTCAGAATTATCCGTATGAAATACTGGAATCAAGGAAGGAGGCTGGTTTCTCGAGTCATTCTTCTACCTCCAGTGAGATCTAGAGCACAGTGACTCTAGTGCTTTAGATTCAGCTGGAGCATCACCAGTGTATGTTTTGTAAAATGAGTAGCTTTGAATACTGTAGTCAATACTAGAGGCACACATCAATCATAAAACCATGACCCTGATGTGCAAAAGATACTGCTTGAAGTTTGGTTGCTACACTTTGCTGTTAGTCTTTAAGGACTTGCATGCCTGTTTCCCGTAAAGCATATTTTGACTTTGAAGTTTTTTTGTCATTATGTTCCTGTCTAGAATATTTTCCAAATTAACAGAAACAGAACTTGCAACTTCAAAAGGGTTAAAGTAGTAGAAGTATTTGCAGAAATGAAGATGTTCTTACCTGGTCTGAATTGTCTTTCAGGTCCCTCCTGGGGGTAACAGAAGTCAATATGAAGAAATCGATATTCCTGTGGCTCTGCTCAGCTACACTGATATGTTAGATATTGGCAAGGTAAACTCGATACTAAATACTCTGATTCACATTATTGCATTTAAATGAGTCATTGCTCAACAGTATTCGAAATCCATCTTAGGAGCTTTGAATCTGTAGAGAGTTGTACTCATGAAGATTGCATGTTTTGAAAAAAAAATTTAAAAAAAAATCTCTTGGAAGGTTTTTTTCATCTTCAGAATAAAATAAAAATGAAGCCTGATGATGGAAATAAATATCACTAGTAGTAGAGCTAATAGACTGCTCCTAAGTATTTATATTAAAGCTTGATTCTGAGCTTGCTTAGTGAAAACTAAGCAACTGAACATTTGCTAAGGTAGCTTTTTTGGAAGTTCTTCATAGCTTGTACTTACCTCCACAGAGTTTTGGCAGCTCGGTGAAAGGGGCGATGTATGCACCAAACGAGCCTGTGCTAGACTATAACATGGTGATTATATTTGTCATGGCTGTGGGGACTGTTGCAATTGGAGGCTACTGGGCAGGAAGCAGAGATGTGAAAAAGTGAGTAACTGGAATTAGTATGTCAGTTTTCTTGTATTTTTCACAGAAAAAAAATCACATGGTATTTATTTAAAATTTATTTTTATTCTAGTACCTGGTAGGCTCTGCTAGTGAGGTTTGGAGACCAGAATGGGAAAATGCTGATGTGACATTTGAAAGGCCTTGAGCCTTCTATTGGCTTTGTCACCATATGAAATTATTAGAATATAATTTGCATGTAGAGTATTCTAGTATTTTGCCTTGTCAAAAAGCCAAACATTTGAAAAGCTCAGAAGGAAAATTGGATTGTAATAGGCTTCCTATTTGGGCTTTTGCAAAAATTCATCATAAAAATCTTTTGTAAACAATAATAAAATTTGCTTTTACTAGTATAGTGCTACCATACACTATATTTATTACGAATCTTTTATTGGAATTTTGTGGTTACTTTCTGCCAGTAAGTGGAGTTGGGGGGAGGAGGTTGTCTGTGCCACACTTTTTTCTGTTTACTTTATATGCACAGCCTGACTTCATGATTTCTTCTGAAGTCAGCAAATTATTCTGTGGTGGTTTTCAGGTTTCTGTTGCATTGTTAGTGAATGAAAAATAGTACTCTTGATAACACAATGCATAAAACAGTAACCGCTGCATTAGTTTATATCTGATGTTCACACATCCACGTAAAACGTGGAGTTCCACTGACCTGAGTGGAACTCAATGCAGGCATTGGTTTTGTGTCATGTTTTCCAACCCCACATAGTTCTCGCTGAAGATTCACTGCCCTTTTATATTTTGTTGCAGAAGGAATGGACTGATTATAGCCATGTTACTCTTTCAGGCGGTACATGAAGCACAAACGTGATGATGGGGCAGAGAAACATGATGATGAAACAGTGGATGTGACTCCAATAATGATCTGTGTATTTGTAGTGATGTGCTGCTCAATGCTGGTCCTCCTTTATTTCTTCTATGACCACTTAGGTACTCTTAAAGTTGTATTTGTATTGATACATCATTGATATCACAAGGCTGCCATCATTTAAAGAACATTTTTACTGTGAAATGAATTATGAAATGGTTGCCTCCTGCCATGTTTCTTCATCCCAATATGATTTAAAACCCTGTAAGAAAACCCAGTGAGTAGATTTCTATACCTACCTTTAGCGAGGTTGCATTAGGTGATCATAGAGCTTCTTTCGAACGTTAAAGCCTATTAAGTAGGCACAGACTCTTAGTTTGGTTAAAGGTGTTCTCAAACCTATACTTGTCTTTCTACTGTTGTTCAATTTGAAATTAAGTTGTGGGATCCAGGATCAAATTTTTTATCTTTTTATAAAGATAAGTTTCTCTTGATCACTTACCAAATTGATTGACAAAAAACCACGAGAGCATAATGCACTGGAACTTCCATCCTCATATTTCTAAGGAAGTTATGAAGGATGCATCCCATCTGTATTAATTCATTTTCCTACTGATTTTAAGAGTTCCCTTATAATGCTCACATGTACTCATAATGAGAAGATAAACACTTCACCATAAATTGCCTTTTAGGCTTGTGATTTAATGATTTACTTTAAGAATATTAGCACAGAGGTTTTGATTTGCTGAAGTAGCTACTGCATAAAGTACACCTGAGTGAACGAAGCTAGAATTAGATACTTAAAGAGCCTAAATCTAATGAACTCTCATTTAAAGTCTCTGAATTTAACTTTCACTGGGGAAACGTAGCCTTATTCCTCATTCAGGCTTTTTGACTGTCTGTTCTGTATGCAGCAGGGATATGAATAAAAGCATCTCTTACCCTATCCTGCTTGGACTTACTACTTTTTCTCTCTCAGTCTATGTTATCATAGGAATATTCTGCCTGGCTGCCTCAATTGGTCTTTACAGTTGTCTGTCTCCCTTTGTAAGAAGATTCCCCTTGGGCAAGTGTAGGTATGTGGCAACTTCTAAATTTTTAATGGACAGAATTAATTTTTTATAATGTTGGGTAGGTGTGGGATTTACAAGGCGGTTTCAGACTTTAAAATGTTTATGAAGGAGGAGGGTAACTACATAGACAACTGTAGCTTTGGTGTGTTTAATTTTCAGAATCCCAGACAACAACCTGCCTTATTTTCACAAGCGTCCGCAGGTCCGGATGTTGCTGTTGGCAGTATTTTGTATCGCTGTCAGCGTAGTCTGGGGCATCTTCAGAAACGAAGATCAGTAAGTGTATATTTTAGCTTCTGTGCTAGGAATTGTAATATGCTTTATAGTGTAAGTAACTGACATCCTTAGAAGCCTAAACTTATCCAGAATTTCCGAGTGGCAGGAAAGAAATTAGAGACTAGGCAGAAATTCTTGGTTGTTCCTTATGTGCTTTATCTCTGTCTTGTTGGTTTAAGTTGCAGAAAACTGTCTGTTAAGCTTGAGTTTCTCTTGAGTCCCAGTCCATATTCTGATCTCTTTGGCTTAAGACAGCTTTTCAGAAGTGTTATAGAAAGTTGCACACAAGTTGTCCCACTTATTTCTTCAGGTGATGGTCTGCATGTGCATTTGCTCAGAGAGAGTAAGAGCTGTAAAGACGGTCAGATCTTTAGTTTCTCTCAACTGGTATGAGTAAATAATTCTGTGTGTCCAGTATTGCTGTGGTACCTATAACATGTTCTTCTTACCACTTTTGTTAGAGGGTTTTTTTTTTGGTTGGTTGGTTGTTTTTTAACTGCTTACCTCACTCCCAGATGCTCCAATTTCCCCATACATGATGTGTTTGTCATCTTGGTCCCTCTATAAGGGACTCTGTGTTGGATCTGAAATGCCGGCTTGTGTTTCTGCTGATGGTACCAAAGATGTCTTGCTTGTCCCTTGAATGCCCATTACTGCTTTTGTGGGATCCATTTTCTGTGTTAAGCTGTGGTAAGCTGTGGATCATTCATATAAATCCAGGAAGTGTCAACTCTGAAACACCTTTTAGAGAAATAATTGTCAGACTGAGGAGTGCAGGAATACTATTGAGCTGTTGCAACCTGGGATATTTAAGACTAGGAAATCCATTTTCTGCTTCAAAGCTGGAGTAGACTTAAGTGTCCCCCTGCACAAAGCTCCATCAGCAAGTGCTCAGGGATTGATCACAACAGCATAATCTCCCATCTGCATCTAGCCCTTATTGATTTTAGGGAAACCTCAGCATTTCATGTCTCAAATTCTACTTCTGTTTGATCCTAGCAATCGAGGAGAGTAAAGCAAAGAGCCTCTATACTTAACTTATAAAACACAAGCAAGAAAACAGCCCCAACTGTAGGCTGCCCTCAGCACGCAAGGGTGTACATGTATACACAGGCCAAAGGACCCCACCACTTCCCATTTTGGTACCCACTGACCTCACTCAGCCAGTTTTCAATCCACCTCACTGCTCATGCAGCCTGTACTTCATTAGTTTCTCTGAAGACCTGAGACCTGTACTTCATTAGTTTCTCTAAAGGGGAGATTCTCAGTGGAAAGCCTTACTGAAGTCCAGGTAGACAATATACCCACTGCTCTTCCCTCATCTACCAAACCAGTCATTTCATTGTAGAAGGTTATCAGGTTGATCAAGCACAACTTCCCATTTGTGAATCCATGCTGACAACAATGTTGGTTTCAAGCAAGTACTTCTAATAAAGTTTTTTGTCCTAAGCAGGTCCTTAGTGAGACAAGACTTGGTCTGGCTTTCCTGCAAAAATGTGACTCTCCTCTTTCTTTAGGTGGGCCTGGGTTCTGCAAGATGCTTTAGGAATTGCTTTCTGTCTTTACATGTTGAAAACCATCCGCCTGCCTACATTTAAGGTATGAAAGTTAAACAGATGTCAAGAGAGGATGTTTGCCTGTGTACAGTTGAACAGAGGAGCCACCTACAATGGAGTACATTGGCTTGGAAATGCACTTCCATTCATGTGTAGCTTGGAAAAGAGTGACTAATGAGCATAATGTGGACGAATAAGTGGTGTGTGATTGTTATGCATGGTGCTTGGTAACTTAAAGTTCTGTAGAGTGTTGACTGCTAGTAAATCACACAGCACACATTCGCTTGTGGGGTTTTTTGGGGGGTTTGAGGTGGTTTTGTTTGTTTTTCGAATTTGACACACAATTCATGTATCATTCTTGTGGTTTTCCAAGTCTTCCACAACCTATTTAGTATCCTAAGGTAAAAATCAGTACTGGTTGTTTAGTTGCTCCTTGGGCAGCTCTTCAAACTCTGTTTCAAGTTATCTTCACCTATACATTTGTTTCTCTGTACAGATTGGTCAAACTAATGTGGATGCTGTTTCAAGCTATGCATCCTCCAGAGAAAATGCAGACCACCTTAATATTTCCTAACAAACTGAAATGACACCATCTCCAGATTTTACAAGATAAAGAATTTTAGGGACTAACATGTAATTTTGTGTGTAAGAATTTCTTTCTTTTGAATGGTGCATGCGAGATCCAGTTCCTCCATCTAAAATATTTAGAAATTAAGAAAAATACGTGGGTGATTTGTTTGTCTGTTCAGTTTTTGCCTTGAATAGTCTTAAGTTGCTAATTATTAATTCTTTGCTGTTTACAAATGCATAGTGTGTAAATACCAATTATCTTGTCTCTTCCTTCAGGGCTGTACCTTGCTGCTCCTGGTTCTTTTTGTGTATGATGTATTCTTTGTATTTATCACACCTTTTCTGACAAAGGTAAGTAAAGCACTTCTCTAGCGCCTGCTGCTCACAGAGCAAAGTGTAATGACCTGTTTCTTCATGTTCCTAAATGATCCCAAGCCTGCTGAGCAAAGTGCTGATTTACAATTTCCCCTTTTTTCTTTAGACTGGGGAGAGTATAATGGTGGAGGTGGCTGCAGGCCCATCTGATTCTGCTACTCATGAAAAGGTACTGTATGTAATCTGAAAATATGGCACTAACTTCCAGCTATTACACTCCCAATTTCTCTGAAATTCAGAGACCACAAAGCTGAAATGGAGATGCCAGTCTGAAAAGAATTTAACGTGCAAATAAGCACTCCTGAGCTCTCTGGAAACCTACACCGAACTCGGGGCAAAGCAAACTTTGTTAGCGGTTGATCACAACAGCTTTGGTCTTCCTTTACCTTGCTTTAAAAGGGTTTCAGTATATGGAAGCTATAACTTATTGCTAATGAAGCATATCCATTTTACCTAATGAGATAAAACTTAGGTGAGCGGTCTGTCCCTTCCCCCTCCTCCCCTGTTTTGATAATTGCTTTATGAAGAGCTGACACTATAGGCAAAGGAGAGAAACGAGAATTGGAGACAGAAAACTGTTTGACAGCGGCCAGCTGCGTGCACAGAGCTGTACAAGATGATGTGGTTGACTCGGGGAGAAGAGTACGTGAGATGTAGGAGATGGTGAGACACAGCGTGCAAAACAAATAAGAAATGAAGCTGTAGGAAAAGTGGTTTTGTTAACTTAAGGATATTGGGTCTCTTCTCAGCAATGAATGTAATACTGTCGCATGGGAAAGTATAGTAAAGAAAAGAGTTGTTTGCAGGGTGAACTATGAGTGGATCAATCCATACAATGCATATTGATTCCTTTCATTTCTTATGTTCTTGTCTTTTGTACGCCTTTAGTTTCAGTTTTATGCACAGAATTAATTATGTAGGACAATAATGATAGTATAAGTAGATAAAATTATTCTGGCACTAACATAAGAAAAGAAAAAAAGAAAATTTCTTTAATGTACTGTATTACAGAGAATGCATGTTTGCAATGAACCTTGCCTCAACATTGCAAATTATGTAATTCCTAGGAACACCTGGGGAAAAAAATATTTAACGCGATTTGAGAAATCATTTTGTAAAACTATCAAGTCTTTACTCTTTTGAGACTTTTATTGCAACTACGAGAATGAAATATAAATGGTTATTTCTTATGCATGTGGCAGCTTACCTAAATTTTCATGTTCCCACAGTTAAAGCAGAGTTGATACCTTATTGCATGGGAGGACTTTGAAATTAATACAGTGTTTTGAGATGTCTGTCATATGGAGCTGTCTTGGCTGTTTGTCTTTAGGAAGTACTTCATCACTCCTATCTTAAATACATTTTGTTAGTTGCCAGTAATATTAATAAAATACTTTAAGCATAAGGATCGATAATGTAAAAAAAGATACATTTGCTCTATTTGAAGTCTGTGGTTTTAGTACAACAGCTACAAGTTCTGGTAGATGGTGTCAGTATGTAGAGGAAACTGCTTTTCATAAGGTGTACGTGTCTCTTATTCCCAGCTCCCAATGGTCCTGAAGGTTCCGCGACTGAATTCCTCTCCCTTGGCTCTCTGTGACAGGCCTTTTTCTCTCCTAGGATTTGGAGACATTTTAGTTCCAGGTAGCTCTCATTTAGCACGTTAAGAATTTTACTTGTTGCACTGTCATATTGTTTCTTCCTCTTGTACTTCCACTTCAAGTAGGAAGTTTGATTTGACTTCTATAAACCTGTTGTTTTTCTGCACTATTCACTTTTTCCATAAGAAATTAAATGCACATTAATCTCCTGGTTCAGTTTCACATGCAGTGATGTCAATAAATGTAGAGAAATCTCAAGAGTTGATTCAGCAACTAATTTTGTAGAATCATAGAATCACTTTGGTTGGAAAAGACCTTTGAGATCGAGTCCAACCTTTAACCTAACCCTGCCATCCCACCACTAAACCCTGGCCCTAAGCACCTCATCTCTCCTTCTTTTAAATACCTCCAGGGATGGGGACTCCACCACCTCCCTGGGCAGCCCATTCCAGAGCCTGACAGCCCTTTCGGTGAAGAAGTTTTTCCTAATGTCTAGCCTAAACCTGCCCTGTAAATCATCTTGAACAGTGTGGTGATAGAGGAAATTATTTGTCCGTTTGCACATGATTTGAGTACACACAGACCTGACCACTCAAAACCCCATAATTCTGTTAGTCACACAACATCCAGTATTTCTACCACACCTCTCAAATTTGACTGCAGATATTACGTAGAATATGCCTGACACCACTACAGGTGAAAACTATGTACCTTCTGGCTTTCAGATTTCTTCTGAGAAATCACTTGTTTATTTTCTCTTGTATTTTGGGAAATATGAACTGTCATCCCCATCCATCTTCCCTTCCCTGCCTATAATAGGTGTAGTCATTAACCATAAATTTCTATTTACTGGGAGCTGGAAGAGATGAATTTACCCTTATTCTTGCTGTGAACGCTGTATATTTTACAACAGTTTATTAGAGATGGGATGATGTTTTGTATCTAGGATCTGTGTATTTGCAGATTTTAATCTTACTAGAGTGCTTCTGTGGTATTGGGTTTGTGTGTTACCATATACCTGTTTGTAAGCTGTGCAGCCTCCTGATTGATGTTATCTTAGAATCATAGAATCGTTTAGGTTGGAAAAGACCTTTAAGATCATCAAGTCCATCTTAGTACTTAAACACTGGGGTGCCCAAGTAAGTGTTGAGAAAAAAAACAAACCCCAAACTTAAGCTCCTAGATAATTTGATGGGTTTGTGAATCTTAATGTGTGAATGGGTTGAAAGCATCTTGTAATTGTTCTTTCCTTTCCTAGGCTTACTGGTAGCCTATTGCCATAGATTTGATATTCAGGTGCAGTCATCCAGAGTCTATTTTGTAGCCTGCACAATAGGTATGTATAACAGCGACACTTGAACACTATACCTACAGGAGCTGCTCCCTTTAAAAGCATCTACTGATATCATATTACATAGTTTGGGATTTTTATTTTTCTCCTCCTCTTAGTATACAGAAATATTTTGGCAAAGCACTTTTGAGGCTGTGCCCTAAAGAAAAATGATTGAAGAAATGTAAAAATTTATTGAGTATTCTAAGCATAGAATCATTTAGGTTGGAAAAGACTCTTAATATCTTTGTGTCCAACCATAAGCCTAACACTGCCAAGTCCACTGCTAAACCATGTCCCTCAGCACCGCCCCCCTCCTCTCAGGCAGTTGTAGGGAGCGATGAGGGCTCCCCTCAGCCTCCTCTGCTCCAGGCTGAACACCCCCAGGGCCCCCAGCCACTCCTTGTAGGACTTGTGCTCCAGACCACTCCCCAGCTTCATTGCTCTTCTTTTGACATGCTCAGCACCTCCATGTCCTTCTTCACCTCGTTCCTGAATAAAAATCAGTTGGGTTTAGCTTCATTGCTCAAATAATTACAATATGAGAACCTAGCTGCTTCTGTTCTACTTAATAATTTTTGCAGAATATATGCAAAAATTAAATAGAAAGTAATACCAAATTATAATGTACAGCTAGCTTTTTTTTAGTGGTGTTGCGGGATAGTAAGAAACAGCCAAAGACAAGCCAAACAAGAAGCACGTTATAATGGTTAAAATAATTATCTATGTCTGTTGCATTCATAAATACAACATGAAGCACAATACTTCATTTGTTTATTTTGCCTGTCTCAAACTGCTAAAGGTAATGATTTAATTGCACAGTATGGACTAGGCCAATCGCACTACTTTCACATGTTATCAATAGGAGGACTGTAGTATCTCTGTTAAGTAAAGCACTGATCTAAGTTTACATCGTGTGTAATGCTTGTGTCTGAAGAGGCCTGAAAAAACATCTGGAGATGTTTTACTTATTACTTGAAAATAGTTCCTGCTAGAATGCTCATCTAGCTAATTATTTAGTTCTTGAGCAGAGTTGTATCTGAATAACTGGGTTTTGTTTCCTTCCAGCATATGGCATAGGCCTTCTTGTGACCTTTGTTGCCTTGGCATTGATGCAGATGGGCCAGCCCGCTCTCCTCTACTTGGTGCCCTGTACTCTTCTCACAAGCTTTGCTGTGGCTCTTTGGAGAAAGGAGCTTGCAATGTTCTGGACGGGCAGCGGCTTTGCGGTGAATACCAGTTTGATATGAGTGTCTTCAAGAAATACTAATATTATTAAAACCTAACTAGAATTAAAGTTGAGTAAAATATTGCAGTATTATCAAACAAACCCAAAGATTTTTGTTTTGCTTGACTGTTTGCTTTTTTACATACTTTCTTTGCCTCAATAAGATTTTCTTTTTCTTAATGTTTATGGGCGCTTAAGCTGGCTAGTGGAAAGTAAAGTAGACCTTGTCTACCCTTTGTGACTCTGCTGTAATTTTACTGGCTTGATCTCTGTTGAAAGTGTAGTAGTAGCAGTAAAATACTATATAAAATACAGTGTTTATTATATAAAATATATCCTTAAAATTTTTCTTCATTTTTTTTTCATAGCCTACTGCTTATGAAGGTAGAAATCTAGATCAATATAGTAAATTATCACTTTGTTTGACTGTGGTACAAGTGAAATGAATTTGATTCCAAAAGGAGTAAGTTCTATTGTGATGCGTGATTATAGATTTTGAGTAATCTGTCAAGCTAGAGGTTCCCCCCAGTGAGTTTTATTTTGGTTTTCAACTATTTATGGTAACCTTCACAACTTTCCTCTAGAGAACTTGAATTTAATTGTTGGAAAAGATTTCAGATATCTGAAATGTGATGTAAAATTGCCAGTTGCTGTACACCGATAGTAAAGGTGGGCAAAACCAGAGAATGACAAAGTGCTGTTTGCCTGTTCCTGTGTAATCAGCAGAGCACACCTGAAATCAGTGAGGAATGATCAGGCAGAAAGCAAATAAACGCATTTCTGGAAGAAAAATCTCCTTGCGTAGTATAAAACGCAAAGCCAGGATAACTGTGTATGCATGTGTCCACTGCTGGAAAATGATGATGGAGATGATGGACCTTTTAATCTTCATCTTGTATGACCATCGCTCCTGATAACTGGATGTGGTAATTCCTGCTTTACATCATTCTGACTGTGATCTTCCATTTACAGAAAGACCTACCTCAGCCTCCCTTGGTGATAGCTCCTGTCAACTGCCCTGAGCTTCCCAAAGACAGCAACGCACCAGCCTCTCAACAAGACACAGAGCAAATGACCAACCCTACCCTCCATGTGAAGGAGCTGCATGGCCCCACCTCAGCTCCAGAGGAGCTGGCTGATACCGACACAAAGACGGACCGGTCAGAAATTTCTATTGCACAGAGTGAGGAACCAGCTGCTCAGAATAAGGACGACCTTGAAAGCAAATGCCTAAATGCAGAGCAAAAACAGCTGGAATAAACAATGTGATAAGAACTCCTTATTTTCCCTCACAAACATATCCATGTAAAACCAGTATATAATTAGGACTGGTTTAGTAGTGTTTGCGTTCATTGAGGAACCTCACTGGGAGTCTGATCATCAAATCCAACAACGAATGTTCTGCCTCCAGCTTCGGTACAGCTATACACTTCAAATATCTTTCTGAAATATGGTGCTCTACAAGGGTTCTGATGTATGGATTTCAATGATCATTTTATTAGGGAATGCCTTTGGCCGTTCCATTTTCATTATACCAGGGTAGTATTAAGAGTCTTTATTTACACAGTACTCTGTGCTTGTGTGGCTATTTTGCTGCTTTAGCATAGTGTAGGTTAACATGGAGGAAAAGCATTGAACAAGTCTGCTGCAATGCTTAGTTGAGAGAAACATTATAGGGTTTTTTTTAGCACTTTCCCTATTGTCACCTTTTTACTTTACTTTTCCCTACTTGTCAAAGCCATTGATACAAGGGAATGCTTTAGAATAAACTGACATTCAGGAAATGCAGAGAATGGTTAAATTACCAGCCTCTGAAAGGATTTATACTACCATGGTGCATTAAATGCATCTCTTAACTTTTTTGTCTTTGTTTTTACTTCCAGGTACTTTGGCTACTAGTCTAGTTTAAAAGGCAGGACGCATGGAGCTACAGGAAGCTTTCTAAGCACTCGTATGAACTCTAGGGGCTGTCTCTGAAAAAAAACAGTGTTTGTCACAGAGCACTGTCTGGAAGCAAAAGCATATTAAGAAGGTTTAAAGTTTTAGGATAACATACAAGCCAAATAGGTAAGAAAATAGGTAGTAGCACTATGCGCAGCTTACTAGGCAGTATTTTTGTTGGGAAAATGTTAAAGCAGTAAAAGTTCATATGTTTTGGGTTTTGAGCTTCTACTTGTTATTTGTCTAAGGAATATAATTGCAATTTCTAATTCTGAAGAAAATAATCTGGTGTTTTCATTCCCAAGGGAGCACATATGGTGCTATAGTCAGGTGAGATTTAAAGCTACTTGCTGCTCAGTAACGTAATCAACTGCCTCAGTCATGTTTTGTCTTTGTCCTAAGAGTAGCCAAAGCATGGCCTGTCAGGTTCTGGAATGAGGCTGTGATCTAGCCTATTATTTTGCACCTCTTGCTACATGACATTGCGAAGGACTAAATTTATGAATTTAAAACTTTTTGGGGTGCAGCTGGTCTTACTTTATGTCCCTGAAATTGTGTGTGTTTTCTTGTATAACATGGTCGAGTCTGCTATGCATCAACTTTAGTACACATAGAGGGATGATGTGATTTGTGTATTACTTTTTCCATCTAAAACCATTTGGCTTTATCAAAGGTGTCTGTTCTACATGTAAATTGCAATCCCAGAAAGCCTCAAAGACTTCACATTAAAACTGAAATAGAAAATGGAATCATGTTCTAGGATCCTAGAACACTTCCAAATTGCATGGAAGAAATACTCTTCAGAGTATTGGAGAGCCCAAAACATCATTTACAAAAGTATCATCGTAGTGACACAATCAGAAGCAATGCTTTTAAATTAAGAGTCTCCAGTTGGCACGTTGAGTTGGATTCTGAAGGGCTCTCTTTTAATGTCTGTGTGTTAAATATTAGCCACTGTCTTTTTGGCTAGGTCTTCCAAAAATTCGCCCTGTGCTTTTTGGATGATAACTTCTGTTCTTACCTGTTTCACGTTGGGTCAGTAGTATTCTTTCTCTAGAACGTGAAAAGCTTTCTGTAAAACCACACTACGGCTTCAGCGTTTTACCAACTCCTGCTTAAAGCCTCAAGCCCTGTCTGCTAAGTTGACTTAATGGTGAGTTCCTTGAAAGGCTTCCTGAGTCCAAAGGCCTGCACTACATTTAATTTACAAATCGCCCTCACGGAAGATGGTAGTACTAAAGAGATCTGGTTTTCAACCTCCTCTTTAATGGACTATGTTACTTTTGCCAGCAGTAATCTGAACCAATTATTACTAATAAAAAGCGACAGAGACATTTTACTGAAAACTTCAGCCAGCTGGATTATGCCTTAATTTAAACCATTGTATAAGTATGTATATTAAATTAAGAAAACAATCTTGTGTTTAAATAATGAACTTGACAAATAGCAAGAAAACAAGTTTGGAGACTGACTCAGAGTTCTATGTTCTTTTGCCTTGATTCGTCTTTCAGTCATAATGTCATTTGGAATAGCTTTTTATATACTTAAAAGCCAGTAGCTTTCTGATGATGAAGCATTGAGTTTTATCACCTACTTGAACATGTATTTTAACATTTGCTCTCATATCTTGTGGGTTAGAAAACAGTTTATTTCTCAAATTGTTTATAACTCAATTAAAATGGAAGAATTCGTAACACTTCACTTGTAGGCATTTAACAGTTGCTTTGTTCACATTGCAGTCTAGATAGATCTGCTTGGAGCATGTGCTTCACCTTATGTCTCTGGGGGTTTTCCATCTGGTTTTAAGCGTGGGTTTGGGTTTTCTTCTTTTTTTGCCCCCTCAAACTAACAAAGAACAATGCGGGGAAAAAACCTTATAGCTACTCAATGCAATATCTCCAGTTAAAGTATGTAAACTGGCAATGAGTTACGTACTTTGACTATTCCAGTACTGTACAAATCAGGTGACCCTGGTGCACTGGTTTTGCTGTGACTGTTTGGACCCTGATCCTGGGCAATTCAATCACTTCCATCAGAAACCAAGGCTGTGCTTTTTTTGTCTTTCAAAAACCTCCCTGCCCACCTTAATGTAAAACTTAATGTTGTATAGGAAAATGTGAAGATACATTGTGTGGCTGAGTCCGATTTTATTTGACGATTGCAGATACACGTCCCACACTAAACTTGAGTTAAAATGCTCAAAGTAATGGAAGTAATGTTAAAAGTAATGCTGATGTGCTTCTTGTTTACATCTTTCTTGTCCTAAGCGTTTAGCTAACTATCTAAAAATTCAATAATAAGGATTCACTTGTATGTGTTCAGGGGAAGCGCTTGCTTTAGTCAAAAAAACCCCCAAACAAACAAAAAACCAATAATCAAGCCCAATAAAAAAAAATATAGTAAACCCTCCCAATCCAAAGAAATCTTTGGATCGCAGTCGTGAGGATCAGATTCTTTCCTGGGTCTGAAATTACTAAATATCAGCGTGTTGGACCAAGTGTTTGGTTTTGACTGTGTCTTCCTGAAGGGTTGCACAAATGCAGCTGGAGGCAGAACGCAACCTGAAAGACTTTACTAAGGGTGATAAATAAGGAAGAAGTATCCCAAACCCTTTTTTAATTTGGGGGGATTTTTTTTTGTCACAAATTAAGAGCATTTTAAATGAAAAACATAAAAAAGAAACAGAAGAAATCTATACATTCTGGTTTTACCAGTGACAGTAAAAAAGAGCACATCAACATCTGTAAGGGTTAGATTTGTGAAAATATTGAATGCTTCCTCTAAACTTGGGCAAATGCCAGAAGACAGAGAATCTGCAGCACAACATGTTCGCCAATAGTTTTATTAATGTGTCTAAAAGAAAACTTCGTTTAGAAGCTTTAGAAGAATGGCTTTACTGCTTTTCCTTCCTTCTTTTTATTTTAACCATACCGTATGTCTTGAACTTTTTACGTGATGTCTTGGTCTCACATCATCAGTCGAGCTTTTCCCTCAGAAGCTGCTCTTTTCTTACTGTCGCCCTCGGTGTGTCTTTTGCCTCGAACGCCTTGCAAGTCTTGACAGCATCTTTCAGATGTGCACATTTCTGTGTTTTAGGTCTGGTTTTTGCATCCCTGGTACACTGCTCAAGGTGAGGACGTCCCATGACTATCATGGGAGTGCCGGTAGGCTGCTAAGTGTGCTGGGAAAGCAATTAGCTAGTAACCAGTATTGGAATAACACGATTTTGAGCTTTAAGAATGTGGCTGCATTCGTTAATGAATTAATACACCATTGGGGGAATGCTGTGTATTCACCTGCAGCTCTTTGTTCTGTAGTATTTGATGGGCAACAGAATGCTGAGAGAATGTAAAGGTAGGAAACTATTTAACCGCAAACCGTGTTCTCCTATAGGTTCTTGCTTTGAAAGCTCTTTCAAAACACAACTCTTGGGTCTGCATATGTGCTCAGTGTCTCCTGGATGTCTCGCCCTATGGTTTGTAGAATTTTCCTGGCTAGACAACTTAAAAAAAGGGGAAGAAAAAAAAAAAAAGGCAGCCTATATTGGGTGTTTGGCAGAAGTGTTGCCTTGAAGTAAGTGCTTACCTGCAGCTATTTTAGCACAAGATCCTGAAGTTTCGTTCTTGTCCATCTTCTCTTTAGACCCGTGGTTGGATAGCGCATAGATTTCTGGTTTCTTGCACTATGTTGGCTGTTTAGGATGTAAAGCCCTGTAATATTTCTTTTTAATGGCAGCTTTCTTGATTATCAATTAATGAAACAGAGTATTTTGTTTACGCTTTCATCGGTTGGCATGTTCCTTGTAGTACATTTGTGGGTGAATAAGCTGGCTTAGCAGTAATGAGTAACTACTGCATATTGACAGGCATCCCATTGACACAAGTAAGCATTTGAAAAGCAGACGTATCAGCAGATCCAAATATTTGCCCAAAAACCTGCAGAGATGGTGCCTTTCTCCATGACAAATACAATCTCTGATGTTTTAAAATAAAAATCTGTGTAAGGGCTGCATCCTCAGGAAAATGAGGACACTGTTATTAGTCCAGAAGAGAACAGAACTGTCATCAGAGGTCCAGAAACCACCAGCAACAAGGAAAGAATAATCTGTAGGTATTTTATCTAGAGTGTAGTTTCCCAGCTGGCTGGCAGACATGAAGCAGAGAGTCACGCTAACAAGCTCTTTGGCTTTTCAGTTTAGGCTCCGTGCCAATGCTTCTAGGTAGGATGGAGAGGGAAAGGATAAGGAAAAAGTGAAGGTGGAACATGTCCAGAGAAGGGCAGCGGAGCTGGGGAGGGGTCTGGAGCCCCAGGCTGCTGGGGAGCGGCTGGGGGGGCGGGGGGGGGGCAGCCCTGGGGAGAG